CTCTATCCTGTAACTTGTATCCTGGGCTTTATTCTGTACCATGTATCCTGTATCCTGCATTCTGTATCATATGTCATGTGCCCTGTTCTCTTTATCCTGTTCCCTATGTATCCTATATCCTGTATCCTATTTCATGTGCTCTGTATCCTATATATCCTATATATCCTATATCCTGTATCCTATTTCATGTGTTCTGTATCCTAAATCTAATAATGGAAGAATAAAAATATTTGAATAAAATGATATATTTGTATATTTGCATGTTCTCTAGCCGATGATCATATATCTTCTCTTAATGATTGTTCGGCTGAAAACACTGTAGAAAACAAATATAATTACTTGCATAATATACAACAAATATATTATATTATAGGTTTATATATTCTTTACACAAAATATATTATACTAGCTTGGGAACCCAGCTTTGCCTGGAATACATTTTTTCTGTTGAAGTCAACCTTTATTTAGAATTTTAAATCTAAGCCAAGAACGACCTGTGGTTTATACTGAGTTCCCAGATTAAAATTTGAGGCAAATCAGTGAATGGGTTTATGAGTTATGATCGGACATTCAAACAAACAAACAAACAGAGATTATTACTTTACTAGATTGGAAACCCAGCTTTGCCTGCAAACCAAATTTTCTCTATCAAATTCAACCCACTTAATTTTAAGCCAAGCTATAAGATCATTCCCGTTGGTTTACCGAGTGAGTTCCATAATCAAAATTTGATACGAATCGGTCAGGAGTTCATGACTTATGATCGAACACACCAAGGAACTATATAAAGGAACACTCAACTCAGATATACGCATATTATGTACTGCATATACTGTGGGAGGAATGTAAACAAACCCAGTGCCCCCCACAGAAGTTGAAGGGAAAGGACTAAAGCTCTGATGTGATATTACAGTCCAACAAAAAGCAAGTTTGATATCAAGTTAGAGCAAATACATGAGTATTGGCTTTCTGGTCAATATGGAAAATACAATGGCAATATATTTTTATTCCACCCCCTGGGCCCTCATCTCTCAAAAATGATGCGCTGACCCTGAATTCTTTGTTTTGATCTTCTCCCACTGCAGTACACAGATTTGACGCATGAGATATGGCTCCTGGTCTCTATATTTCTTGGGACACAAAAACAAACAGAACTATATACACAAATTCACATTTTAGGAATTTAGTGAGAAAAATGTTTTCTTTTCGTTAAAGAAAAGATTATGTAAGAAGAACGTGGTTAAGAAAGGTATAAAAGAATTTAAATAAATACTGACAAATCATTTTATTTTTCAACTACTAACAAAACCAAGTAATAAACTTTTTCTTTAAAATTTGTTTTACTTCGTCGTTTATATTTCATATTTTCTATTTTACAAAATAGTCTTTGGGTTCGAGACTAAAACAGTTACGCCTTTGTAACCACTCCGGAGTAAACAAAACGAGACGTGTAAAAAAAGGTATAAAAAAAGAAAAGGCGAATGACAAATCAAAACAACGGAATTAAATAAGAAAATTTTTTTATATTTTACGGAAATAGATCAAAATAACAGAATTAAATATGAAAAATGTTGATATTTTACGGAAACAAATCAAAATAACAGAATTAAATAAAACATGTTGATATTTTACGGAAATAAATCAAAATAACAGAATTAAATATGAAAACATGTTGATATTTTACGGAAATAAATCAAAATAACAGAAGTAAATATAAAAAACATGCTAATATTTTACGGAAACAAATTAAAATACACTTTTCAGTGCGTTACCTTAGTTGGGAACTTTTGTATTGTGGATATTGAGATCAATGCTTTAAATCGATCTTTTTTAATCAACAGATTAATTAAATCGATTTCTAAGATTCCAATTTTAAACTGCAGCGAAGCATATCTTCTGCAGGTAATTAGTTACAATTGTGGAGACAGTTTAAAATTGGATTAACATTCTGCGTGAAATACAAAAGTGCCTATGGTGGATATTGAGATTAAGCCAATAACAAAAGTTCCCAGCTCTGAGCAGTATATATACATACTTTGCTTGTCGTCTATCTGTCTGTTTGTATCCAATAAACGTCAAAACGGTTAAACCGATCGGGCCCACATTTTTTGTGGGACCTGACGTGACCCCAGGGAAAGTTTATGAATGATCAAAATTTCAAAAAGTTGTGTTTAAAAGTTTTATTTTATATAAATTTTCAAAATAAATTCACAAAAAGATAGGATGCAAAGCACACTGAATTCTTGGTTAGGACGTTTCAGATAAAACAAACAAAAGGAAGATGCTACAGATAAAGCCACAGTTAAAAATTGAAATAGAAGATTGGCGCAAAGTGCCCTAGAAGTCTAGTATATATGTATAAAATTTCAAAATAAATTCACAAAAAGATAGGGTGCAAAGCACACTGAATTCTTGGTTGGATGTTGCAGATAAAAGAAACTAGTTTTGTTTCTGTTGACTGGATAGTATAGTTTGTATGCTCAACTGTATCTCCTCTCCTTGTTTACAAAACATAAAAGAAATGTATAAATCTTATTAGGGTAACTTTCTCTATATCACTCTACTGTCTTTCAATCCAATCAGGGATTCATTAAAGGGATTGTTCAGAAATTTAGGGAGGGGCTTTGATAAAAAAAAATTATTTTGATCCAATCCATATTTTAGTAAGAAAAACAATCTCAATAGATCACAATAACCCTGAGGCATAAACCCAAAGGTATTACGCGCCTGCTTTGAATGACAAGACAAAGAGAGAGCATTCGCGTAACTCCTTTGGGCTTCGGCCTCAGGGTTATTGTGAAAGAAAACTCCTTAATTTTGAAAAGACGACATCTAGAGTTCTATCTGTATTGTTATTAATCTATGGATTAATGAAACTCCATATCATATTAATGTTTATTTTGGAACACTTGAGAAAAAATCTGATTTACAACTATAGCTCGTAATCAACAATAGAAACTATCGTGGCAAAGATTGTTTTTAATGGGATGATAATAAAAGTCCAGCTATAATAAAATAAAAATGTATTTTAAGAATGCGAATAGTATATCATCTCTCTATATTATTTATATATCCTGTAAATCCCTTCTTGTCAGTTTTCCTAAAGATACTTTATTTTCTCATCTTTACTCTGTCTAACCTCATTCACAACACATATTTATAATCTATGTTTGTAATATCATAATGATTTGTTTGGAATTAAATTGATTTTTTTACGATTCGAGTTGAATGTTGCAAATTTCTGAATTTGTATGGACGCTACATTCTTCAGCATGAGTCGTTATTAACATTTTCTCATTATAGACGCAACAGATAGAAGTAAGATTAGTTGCAATCAAAAGCGCTTATTTTTCTCCGTAAGCCTATACCCCCTTTCATTTTTTTGCAAACACTCCCTTTAGGTAAAATGGGTTTGTTTACACTGCACTGCTCAATTGAGGTGCCAGGTGCCTCATGTTCATTTGACTATTTTTAGTCATATCTTGAGTTCAAAAGTCGATTTTCTAGTCCAGAGTTTTCTGGTTATCACTGTATGTTTAGTCTTGCGTAATTTCTGACAAATTTTGAATGAGAGTTCAAAATATGACGGAAAATATTCCGATACAGACAGTATATTCACTTCGTTGCAGTTAGTTTTGAAGGTTTTGATTTGGCCTCAAAACTGAACGTTTACCCGCCGATTAAAACTTTGCTCAAATGGAATATTAAAATTTCTGAATCTTTCAAAAGTTGATTTTCACACTGTTTTCGCACAGTAAATCGCTAAATACGCCCCTTTTCTTTTATTCATACTAAAGATAAATCCCCGTATGAAAATTTTTTTCTTTTTCGAAAGTAATTTAAAATGTGTTTTTACTTCCCGTGATAAAAAATCATCTTTATATCAAGCTAGTGTTTTCTTTAATCATAAAAAGAAAACATTTAATTTCCGAAACCCCGGTTTATCAAAATTAAACTATTAAGGGAACTCTCTGCTCTTTTTACAGCACAGTTCCTGCTCAAAATGGATGAGAATTTTGCCAATTTCTTCATATAAACTAAAGCTTTATAAAATGTGCATGTCTTGGGCTAGAAAAATGTTTGAGTGTATTAATAAGGTAAAAAAAACCTTAAATTAGACCCTGTCTTAAAAACTGATGCAATTTTGTACAGTAGCCTGGATCTATGTGACTTGAATTGGATCTGATTCCTACAATAACCCAACATAACCAATATCTATCTATTTTAAATGTTTGGCTTATCCATGCTTATTTTTACGCTGTGTTTTAAAATTGTTTCTAATAAACGTCAAAACAGCAAAACCGATCGGGCCCAAAGGAATTGAGTCTTTGCCACAAACTCAAATTTTTAAATCCCTACATTTTGGCAGACTGCAGACTCTTAATATTTCAAACTTAGATTTTTTGATTTAACAGAATTCAAAGTTTGAAATATCCAAGGTCTACGACATTGGGTTGCAAAGATATAGGGATCTGAAAGTTTGTTGCAAAGACTTAATTCATTTATATATCTTTAGAAAATAATACATGAAGTTTTCATTCTTACATAGCAATTCACGATCGCTAAGAACTACTTATTAGCATATATTTAACTATCTAGTGCATGTACATGCCTGCTAAACGATATAAGAATTAGACAATCAGGGTTTGTGACAAAGACTCAATTCCTTTCGTTCAGAAAGGTTTGTGACCAGCCGAAAATACAAAATTTTGTCTCAAACATTTTTACAATCCATCAATGAAAAAAGAAAAAACTGTTGTTGCCACAGTAATCCAAAGGTTGCAAGCGCTCACGCTAAAATCTATGGGAATTTCTTTTACACTAAAGCACCAAAAAACAAGTGTTTTTAAGTTATAAAATGTATGAGTACCAAGATTTTAGGACTTTTAAAAGGTTCCACAAAATGTTGAGAAGTTTTACAAATTTCAAAGTTGTTTGTTTAAACAAAAAATTTGCTATACTTATACTATATTCTAATTCTGTTATAACCATTAGAGAAGATATTTCCATCTATCGTATTTTTGGTTCGTTTTTTAGTTTGTTCTTTTCATAACGGTTTAACCAGAATTATCTAGAATTATCTTGAATTATCTAGAATAAACTAAAATCATTGTTGAATTATACCCTATACTGCAGTAATCCTTCTAAACCAACTTGTTCAATAATAAATAGTTCCTGAGTTTGGGAAAAACTTTCACGGTTTTATGTTCGGATAATTACACATACAGATAATTTCACACAAACTTTCAAGGAGGAGGGGGGGGGGGCTCTCTTTAGTTTGAAAATAATAATAATAATAATTATAATAACATGGGGAGATCGCAAAATATTTGGGTTCATAATGCATATTTATTTTGAGGAAGAGATGGGATAAGATGATCTATGAGCTTGAAAAATAACTCAATTTTAACTTGACAAAAAATATTGAAGGTAAATTGTTTAAAACATTTTTCCTGGTTCCCATGCCTGGATTCTTGAAATGGCGGCAGTTTGCGCAGAATGCCGCGGAAGAAACCAAGTCCGTTTACACCTCTTGACGATGACGACGAGAGTAGTAAGTTACCCCTAAAAAACAGGGGGTTGTCTTGTCTAACTATTTTTAAAGGGTCCGGTGGGCGTGGTATCCCTCCCATAGAAAAATACTTTACAAAGAAAGGAATGGGAAGGTGTGCCATGCATGTCAATTGTCAATAGCCAAATTTGTCAAGGTCAGCTAATTTTTGAAAATGCAGACCTCTAACTTTATTGCTAGGGAGGTTTTTAAAATGTCATAATCATCTGAAAATGTAGAGGACAGTTAGTATTATTTTTCACAAATAATTTCGTCTGACGAGTGACGGTGTGACACGTGTGCTCAAAACCCCGTTCTTTGTTGATAAATCTATTCTGAGCTGAAAACTTTAGAATTGTGGATATTGAGATCATCCAATGTTTGATCTCCTTTTTTCAATCTCAAGATTAATTTGATCTTTAGTTTGTATCCAGACAAGTGTACACGTGTATAAAATTAAACTAATTAAAATAGCATATATATACAAAATCCCGAACAGCTGATTAGAGACCGGGAAATTTGAAATTTCGGGGCTATATAATGAGAGAACTCTCATTGGTCAGAATCCGGTAGGATCGATATCTAAAAAATGGGGAAAAGAGCGGATTAAGCAGAAATCAAAAGTGTCTAAAGTGGATATTTAGATTAAGCGATCCTCATTTTAAGGATATCCATTTCTAAAGTTTTCAGCTCTGTACTGATTAACTCAAGTCAATTCAAATTTAATCAAATATAAACAGTCATCCAATAAACTACAATCCAATCCAATAAAATACAATCGAATCTATAAAATTCAGAATGTCGGGAAATTAAATCTTTTCTTCGTTGTGGGAAAACAAAGAAAGGGAAACCCTGTCTTTTAGATGAAGATGAGAACTCTGTGGCAATCCTTATAGAACAGGTGGAAACTTTTATATCATTTTTTGCCCCCCCCCTTATTAATAATAATGTTGCTTTTAAATCGTCTTTGAATTGATTTGTGACATCCTTTCATTGACCTACTTTTGTTAAAACAATTGTCAAAAAACTCTCCTAGGTCTGGCATTTCCAAAATGTGGTCTGCCTTTTTTTGTGCTTTCAATATTACCGGAGGTATTAAGAATTTTGTTCGGATTTCAATTTATCACATAAACCATAATTGTCCAAATCTTAATGTAATTCTTCATATCGCTAGTAAGTTTGAAAGCTCAATAAGGACAGACCAAATTTTGGAAACTTCAGAACTAAGGGTATTTTGTGTTTATCAACTCAAGAATTTTACATTTTTTTATACTTCCCCATCCCTTTGATATCTAATTCCCAACCAAAATCTAATTAACAACCAAAGGTTGTTAATATCTAGATACCCCCCCCCTCTGATATCTAATTACCAACCAAAGGTTGTCTATTCTCTAGGCACGGAATGAACTTGGCAAGGGAAGAGCTAAGACTGCGAAGTCGTATTTAGATCAGGTAGAACTAATTTGGCGTAGTTGTAACCTTCTAATCTCATACAGGGTGTCTCACGAACATGACAGTTGGTAAATAGTTTTTAACGTCTTCTTCCATATAATATATAAGATATTAAAAACGTTTTGCAGTTTATTTTGATAAAAAATGTTTTACTCGAATATATTTTACTTTTAAATCAATTTTACTATAATACGAAAGCCATGTGTTATTTTTAATTATTCTTCTTGGTATCCAAGAACTGAACAAATTATAGAAGAAGACATTTAAACTATATCACCAACTGTCATGTTTCCTGGGACACCCTGTACTTCATTACTCACATCTATACATACAGGGTAGGATGGAGCTTCGAGAGGAAAAGAAGAAAAGATGGAGATTAGGGGAAGTATGAAGCAAAGGGAAGTAAGATGAATTGAGGGGAAGTAAGGGTAGGTAAGATGAAGTGAGTGTAAATAAGGGTAGGTAAGATGAAGTGAAGGGAAGTAAGATGAATTGAGGGGAAGTAAGGGTAGGTAAGATGAAGTGAGTGTAAATAAGGATTGGTAAGATGAATTGAGGGGAAGTATAGGGAAAAGTAAGATGAAGTGAAGGGAAAAAAGGGTAAGGTAGGTAAGATGAATTGAGGGTAAGTAAGGGTTGGTAAGATGAATTGAGGATAAGTAAGGGTTGGTAAGATGAATTGAGGATAAGTAAAGGTTGGTAAGATGAATTGAGGATAAGTAAAGGTTGATAAGATGAATTGAGGATAAGTAAAGGTTGGTAAGATGAATTGAGGATAAGTAAGTGTTGGTAAGATGAATTGAGGATAAGTAAGGGTTGGTAAGATGAATTGAGAGCAAGTAAAGGTAAGGTAGGTGAGATGAATTGAGGATAAGTGAGGGTTGGTAAGATGAATTGAGGGTAAGTAAGGGTTGGTAAAATGAATTAAGAGCAAGTAAAGGTAAGGTGAGATGAATTGAGGATAAGTGAATAGAGGGGAAGCAAGATGCAAAAAAAAAAAAAATTTTAGATTACCGGGGTAGGATATCATCTCCATAATGAGCCTTAGTAAAGTATACTCCGAACCTCAACTAGGCGCTGAAGATTGATGACGAGGAGCCGCTTGTTCTGATTGAACGAGGAAGGTGTTTAGTTCAACTCTCTCAACCAACACAAGCTTTGAAGGTGATCTGAGATAGTTGCCAACAGAAATATTTACAATAAATTGACAATTTCTCAAATGTACTTGCAACAGTGCTCTCCCCAGGACACTTTAATGGTACTGTTGTTGTTATTTCAAGTGGACTTCCATTTAAATAACATGCCTCATTCACTACAGTACCCTATATTTCATTTATAATAAGGAATAAAGAGTTTAATTCTGGCAATTTCCTCCAAATTGCTTCTGAAACAGAAATGCGAAACTTAAGTATAACTTTGATCCGTTTCTTTACAATCAGTTGAACTGCAATATAACATAACTATACGTTAGTTTGGAATATTTAGTTAGGTTATTCACTTTTTTCCGTTAATTACTTAAAGTAAGCGTTCTAGGCATAACAATTTATGCAATAGTTCGTTTTAACTTCTACCTTTTCGTTCCTCTGTTTTTTTAAATTTATGTTAATAATTTTTAAAAAATCGTTGATTTTCAAAATTTTCATTTGTTTACGTAACTTTTCCCATCTCGTTCAAATTAAGCCTATCAATCATAAACTATTGAAATATGAAGCTCTTTTATGCTGTCATTACCATTAGATGATAGTACCAACTTTGAAAAATGAGAAATAATCGTAAAATTGCAAGTCATTTCATTGCAAAAATTTGCACAGTACATTTCCTTTGAGGGATTTTAAGTTCTCTCTCTCTGGCCTAATCTTGAGAAAAAGTTGAAACAGTTTAGTTTTTATGCAACTCATTTTTCTTAATATACGGTATATAGAGGGGGGGGAGGGGGGTTACCACAATTTTAAACTGAATTTTTGCAAACTTAATTCAAACTTAATATAATTAGCATAATTGCTCGATTATTTTTATCATTGTCAAGTCTATATATTTTACTTATATATATATTTTACTTGTCTATATATTTTACTTGTCTATATATTTTACTTGTCTATATATTTTACTTGTCTGTACATTTTACTTGTCTATATATTATACTTGTCTATATATTTTACTTGTCTGTATATCTTACTTGTCTGTATATTTTAATTGTCTGTATATTTTACTTGTCTATATATTTTACTTGTCTTTTATTTTAATTGTCTGTATATTTTACTTGTCTATATATTTTACCTGTCTATATATTTTACTTGTCTATATATTTTACTTGTCTTTACATTTTCCTTGTCTATATATTTTACTTGTTTATATATTTTACTTGTCTATATATTATACTTGTCTGTATATTTTACTTGTCTATATATTATACTTGTCTGTATATTTTACTTGTCTGTATATTTTACTTGTCTGTATACTTTACCTGTCTGTATATTTTACTAGTCTATATATTATTCTTGTCTATATATTATACTTGTTTATATATTATACTTGTCTATATATTTTACTTGTCTATATATTATACTTGTCTATATATTATACTTGTTTATATATTATACTTGTCTATATATTTTACTTGTCTCTCTATTATACTTGTCTATATATTATACTGTCTGTATGCTAAATGTCATCCTTGGATCAAAAAGTAAATGTATGAAATTTTCCAGTGAAAATTTTAAAATTAAAAATCTTTTCACTTTAGATTTTAAATTTTAGATATAGCATAACACTTGATAATTACATTTTAAGTTTTAATAAAACTTTTAAAAGTTTGGCTCAATTTTTGACAAAAATTTTAGGAAAATTTTCATCTAACATCATTTTACGAATATGTTTGAATAGAATAAGTAGGTATGAAGGAGTTTGAAGTGGAAAAATCTTGAGTTCTTCACAATTATTTTGTGAAATCTACTTTTCAAATGGGAGTTGAAATTAAAAGCTTTCTGCGCTAATACTAAGGGTAAACATATGGGGTACTTTTTTAATAAAAAAGGCTCAAATCCACCTTGCACCATGTCTAAAGTTTCCTTTGATACACTTGAAAAATATTTCGGATATTTTTTTAATAAATTTCAAATTCATTGAAACTGATTTTTCCTTTTTTGAAACATAGAGTTCAGAGACGTTAATTTTGTAAAAAAAAAAAGATTAAAAATTAAGCAAATTATTAGCAGCATACAACAGGGTTTTTAAAAGATATTTGTCAGAGTATAAAAAAACCTAGTTCTTTTGCTAGTAATTAAACAATTTTTGAAGTATTAAAAAAGACGGACAAATTTGCGTTTTTCAGCGGTTTAAAACACGTCTATTAAGAATTATTAACATGTTTTGAAAAAATGAGAATTCTACCTTCCAATATGATCTAGGTATTTCTAATCGTTAATAACTGATCAAGTTCTATCTTTAAATTTTTTTCTTTTTTTACATTGCTGCTGTTTATATTTTTCTGTTTTTTTGGTTTTCTGGTTTTCTGGTTTTCTGGTTTCTGGTTTTCTGGTTTTCTGGTTTTCTAGTTTTCTGGTTTTCTGGTTTTCTGGTTTTCTGGTTTTCTGGTTTCTGGTTTTCTGGTTTTCTGGTTTTCTGGTTTTCTGGTTTTCTGGTTTTCTGGTTTCTGGTTTTCTGGTTTTCTGGTTTTCTGGTTTTCTGGTTTTCTGGTTTCTGGTTTTCTTGTTTCTGGTTTATGAAAAGGATTTTAAAATTCGATTTTAGATATAAATCTTCAACAATTATTCCAATGTTTTCTTGTTACCAATGTATCTTGTGATTACGAAGGATGTGGATCCGGTTCTGAAGGATAATCCAAGTTCTCCATTAGCTCTCAGTGTAAAGGTCTGTATACTGATTATTTAGAAATGTTTCGTATTTTTTAATCATATACAGGGTGTCCCACAAACATGACAGTAGCAAGACGATTTGAATGTCGTTTTGGATCTTTAAAATAATTTGCGACGTTTATTCGTAAAATTAATCTTAAAAGTAAAATTCTTGAGTTAATCAACACAAAATATCCCTAATCTTGGCATTTCCATAGTGTGATCTGGCTTTTTGTGCTTTCAATATTACCGGAAACTTGAAAAAATTTCGTTCGAAAATCGACAATTTTCGAACTATTATGTAAGAAAATTGAAATCTGAACGAAATTCTTAATATCTCAGGTAATATTAACAGCACAAAAAAGACAGACCACATTATGGAAATGCCAGGACTAAGAGAGTTTTGTTTCAAGAATCATATATATTAAAGAAGGTTGACGACTGAATGTCACCGTATTGATACTGTCATGTTTGGTGAACACCCTCTATGTGTTTACATTTATGTGTTTGATTTAAAGGGACTGTAAACGTAATTTCAAGTCACCCTTCATTGATAGAATGGCATGTCCAATTGTCAACGGTATCCCTAGAAGCCTTCTGATCAAGAATGAGTTAAATATCCAGGTATCGGATGAGCGGGGGAAGGCAGGCGGCCATGTGCCACCACTATTTCCCCTTCCGTGCCACACATTAGCTTTTTTCTCTTCCGGCAATCATGAGCCACCACTATTTCGCCTTCCGTACCACCACATTTGACTCTTCCGGGCAAAAATACTTTTTTAATGGTATATTTAGGGCCTTTAAAGTGTGATTTTTAAAAATCCAGCCGCGTCACGCAAAAAAGCACAACTCAAACCATTTTTTCAATTCTACTTAAGATTAATATTTTGTGTGTTGAATTATTAAACTGTTTTTCAATGAAATTTTTGACAAATTTGACTGAGTATTGCATCTTGAAATATCACAAAGTCTAATGATTATACAATTACTGACTCATTATACTAAATCCATCTTAAAATCACTCATTAACAAATAATCATTAGACTTTGTGATATTTCAAGCTGCAATACTCATTAAAATTTGTCAAAAATTTCAGGTAAAACAGTTTAAGAATTTGAAACACAAAAGTTCAATCTTAAGTAGAATTGAAAAAATGGTTTGAGTTGTGCTTTTTTGCGTGACGCGGCTGGATTTTTTAAAATCACACTTTAAAGGCCCTAAATATACCATTTAAAAAAGTAGTTTTGCCCGGAAGAGTCAAATGTGGTGGTACGGAAGGGGAAATAGTGGTGGCTCATGGCTGCCGGAAGAGAAAAAAGCTAATATGTGGCACGGAAGGGGAAATAGTGGTGGCTCATGGCCGCCTGCCTTCCCCCGCTCATCGGATATTCTCAAATATACCGAGAGCGTACTGCATATTTGTTTATTATAAAGAGATTCTGAGTTGAAAGTGTACATGTACAGATAGCACACTATCATCCCCCTGGGTATACCACTCTTAAAATGAAGGGGCAATTAATATGACAGTCCTTTTAGAAAAGTTCTTGATAAATAAATAGAAAAATTTCAAGTTTTTTGGTTTGTTTGATGTAATTGTCTATTAGGCTGATGCAATGTATCATTTGGGAGATTTTGAGCACGCTCTTCTATACTATCATAGAGCCCTCAGGTGGAATCCTTTAGACACATCTTTAGACAAACCTTTAGACAAACCTTTAGACAAACCTTTAGACAAACCTTTAGACAAACCTTAAGACAAACCTTTAGGCAAACCTTTAGACAAACCTTTAGACACATCTTTAGACAAACCTTTAGACAA